CCTAATGTCCGAGTAATGGCAATGACTCCTATACCAAATGATGGAAGTTCGAAGTTATGAAGGAGTATCAACCACCCTAAAGGTTACACACATACTTTGTTGTACTCATCTTCGTAACTACCACTGGAATCCATGACGTACGTTTCGTCCTATCTAGGACTCGTCATTTGGATGCACCTGCCTCCTAGTGAATGATGTGGGCTCCACTATGTCAGTAAATTAGGATCGGTCGCTAAACTTCAGAGCCTTATCCCCTAAGCCACTGAGTCACAATACTAACTCCTTATGTGACGAGTATAGCTTTTGCTATTTGCTTGCGATTTTTTGTGGTTGATTCAACCAGTTTGATAGGCACAGGAGCCAATATAACAAAAGAGCTCGGTCGGTTCGGTCCAATCAACGACGGGGATTTACAAGTAATAATATATAAGTCGATTAGTTTGAAACAAATGATAAATAAGAAGTCAGTAGTAAAGAGAAACTAGAGCCATTTGTCCGAAATGACAGAGCTTTGACGACACATGATGATTAGATAGCGTCTAATATATTGCTGAAACATTTATCAATAAGCTATGAGTAGAATTCAGTCCAATCTTGGTGACTAGCAGAGAAATTTAAGACACAAGTTTCGTCCTACCTTGGGGCTCATCAACTGGGTGTACCTGCACCCTAGTGGGTGATGTCGTTCCCACTGAGGCTCGAATCCAGTTCCCATGGCTTCAAACGCCAAACCACTATCCACTAAACCACTGGGGCATGACAGCCACCCCTTATGCAACGGGTATCAGTTATTGCTATGATACTTGTAGTTCTCCGTTGCTACACAGTTAACTGTATAGGAAGGATCCTACGGGTAATGAGTAACAATAAAAATGAGCTTGTGATGACTACAACTATGTAATCTATCGAAATTTGTGATGGTCAATCTCCGAGCTGGTGAAAAAACATACATCTTCCAGTTGTTAGACATCTTAACTGGACACAAAACAAAACTCACAAAATACTGAAATGAACAAGTGCAAGGACATAAGAAGATAGATAGTAAATAAATATAGGAATGACAAGGAGTCGGAGTGAAATTTAGGACAAATACATCAATATCCATATGACTAGTACTGAATTACACCAACTACTGCTTTAAGGTATAGATTTTCATTACATTGAAAGCTATTGTAGCTGAAAGATACAAAAAACAGATAAATTCGTGTCACCGAAATCCAATTCTAGATACTGCATATTCGTATTTACTTTGAAAATATTTTAATTGAAATATTTACTACAAGCTAGTAAGGGCTTTGAAAGCATCGGAGATCAAAACCCCTATCTAATTTTCTCATCATTTTTATCAACGGCCACACTACATAGTGATATAACTGAAAAAATTGAGAAAATTACGTTGATAAAACCGTCATCAAAACATAAATCACATTTTCAAGTCATCGATCATTTAGGTAGAAGTATTGGAGATTAGATTTTTGTCTACCTATCCCGCTTATCAGAAAAACCTCGGTGACCAAGCTGATGCTTCAGATAACTAATCAAAATAATTTATTTAGTTTTTTTCTTGGAGTACTTTCTTCATGCGCATAAAAACAGCCTAACAAACATGGTTCTCGCAACTATAGCCCAGTCTTTCGTTTCTGATATTTCTGTAGCCTAGTGAAGCACAAGATATTGGGGAATGCGAACAGTCATCGTTTGTGCATATTCGTGTGTTCAGTAACATTATTTGTTTACCTACGCATTTAATCCACTAGGATGCTTCACCCACTTGAATATGGCATCAAAATTCAAGTGACGTTAGATGAGAAATGCTCACTTAGTACACAGATTTCACATATTACGAACAATAACTATTCCCAGTTAAGGCAAACAGTACTTCTAGCTAATTTAAGAGTATAACATGAGCACTGTGGTAGAATGTAATTCCATTTTAGTTGATTCATTAGATGTATCACACATCGGAACAGTATTATTTACTGGATTAAGTTTCGGAAACAATTTAATGCCCATAGTCATATCAAGATGATATAATATGCCTGATGACAACAAATCGTGTCTGAAACATAGTACAGTGAATAATACTGTACCACTTTGTGATGCGACGAACAAATCAACTAACACAGAGGTACTTTCAGCCAACTAATTTCTAAATATTTACATGTTCTTCACAATAAGCTGAACCTCGTCAACGCCTTTATCGAAATGAACCATATCAAAGCCTTGGTCGCCTGAAGTTCTCTGAAAACTTGGCTCCTTAGTCAACATTTTCTTTTAAACTACAATTTCTTTACGTCGAGTCTAAAAAGGAAACGAGGCTCATGGGATTTCGGCAAGTTGCGTAACTTGTTATCTAAAGAACCTATAATAGGATTTTTTCGCAGTAACTCGGTTGGCGGACAAATCATTAATAGCGCTTCAAAAACAGAGGCAATTCTTCAGTGAACAACTTTAAAGATGGTGGATAGCCATATGATCCATTTGTGTCCCCTGTTAACTTGATAATGGCAGACACCAAGTGAAACAATCCATGTATGTGCCTGTGCCTTAGGCAATTAGGAATGATGTTTTACTGGTTTGGATCATCAGAAACAGTCGCGAGGTTAGAAGCTAAGGAAACTGTAAAGAGCTGCTAGAAGCGTGCAGCTGGCTGGTAATTCTTGGTTGTCCATATAAGGAATTCGATTCTGCCACCAGATACCTGAAGAGAAAGAGGGTCAGTTTTGCGTGAGAAAAGTTCAATAGGTATCTGCTTGAGACCGGCCACGCACGGCATTTTTGAGATTCTGAATTTAGATTTGACAATGTTACGTCGTGACCATAAAAACTCATACCGCCATCACTAGAAGACTGTAGGATCGGGGAGTTCGTTATTTCTTAGGGTTGAGTCTTTGTAATTCAACTTCTCGATAAGGGAATGCAGTATCAGCATGGAATCCTGGTCATCCGCGGGAAACACAGTAGTCTTGGCATGCCTCATACAACCAGTAGTACAAATTCGCCCTCGAACCACCAACAGCGTAAAGTCCTTAAACTCTACCACCATCCAGAAGACATTTCTGATGCGGTGAGACCTCAAGGAACGATAGTTCCAACCAGCATAACCCCGACATCATTGCGATAACCAAGCCCAACAAATGCTTTAAAATAGCATTTGTCGGTAACGGTTCTGAAAACAATGACAACCTCAATCAAATTAATTACCGGTTGACCAAGAGTCTGCATAGCAACCATAGGAGATATCAAGAGGGGAAAAAGTACTAGTACTGACAATATCTGTGGGCTGTTAGGATTTGTCATTAAAAACAGGCCTGACAGGAAATATCCCATGAATTCACTGAACAAAAAAGATAGTTCGCTGGCAGATTTACAGAAGAGATAAGAGGAGAGTTGGGTAATGAGTGGAAAATACACCTTACACATATTCGCACCATTACTCAAAGTATTCAAAAGGCTGTGGATTTTTTCATCATCTTAGTCTAACAAAATTATGTTATGTGTAAACTTTAAGTCATTTAAGGAATATCAAGCGATTCAATCAATCCCTGTAAAATCAGAGGGACAGAAATTAACCTAGTTGAGGACGTTTATGATAACGTTGAATAAAAGTGTAGAGAGTGAATATACTTGTATGATATTAGTCAACGTAGACACTTTAAAGGATGGCTTAATATATGCGTGAATAAGACCACGAGTCTAATTGTACAGATCTCAAGTAAGGTGATGAACTTGCCAGGAATTTTTTTATTGGTGCACACTGCCACACGATGTTCGTTGATTGGAGGCGATCGGTGGGAAATCATGCTCTACCTAGATTTTGTGCTTGTTGGCAGTCGTTAGTAGGGGGTATCTGCAACCTCGAGGAAACTCATGTCCCCTGTAAGATTCGAACCCGCGTCACCCAATGTTGTAATCAGAGATATTACCACCTAGGTATTCTATTTGGGCAGCTATTGAACTCCTGTAGGATTGGATTAGACACATTGATTAGTCAGTAGAGGACAACCGACTTCGTGTGCTGGCCAAATCCTATAAATCATTTTGTAATGTGGTCATCAAGCTAGAAGACTCACTACCACGGTGCACTTTGATGGAGGCTACAGGACTTCTTGACCGATTGAGTCAAAAAATAAGATTAATAGTCAGTAAATGCAAGAAAAATTTGTGGGGGAAATGCAAGGCAGAGAAGTGATGATTAACCTGTATTTAAGTCCACTTGTAGTGATAAAGAAGACATAATACAAGTGAAATGAATAAACCGTGTGGTGTGGTTCATTGATCTAAGCAATCGAATTTTAACCAATAGATCTTAGGTTCAAAGAGCACTCCACCTACTTTGTCTCGAGGTGTTACACAGTAATTTTGATTTATAGCTCTTTATCAGGTTGAACTGTATTAGTATTAATGAATGAGCCGTTCCGTATGTGTATTTGGTGGTATCATATGTACAAGCTCATATGTTTGTTAGGTGCAGAAGTAAACTACTAGACTGACAAATGTTTCATTCTTTTTCCTAAAATAACTTACACATCTAATTAAATGTTTGACAAAAATGTGAGTTTAAAATAAAATGACTACAATCTCACTTGTTTCCTCCTCCACTTGATAAAATAAGTAGAAAAGTTTTATTTTTACTATACTGAACTATAGATAGATTGACTTTTAAATATACTTCTATGAAAAGGTGTTAACCGTTAAACATTCGGTGTCACTCCTAAATCTATCTATGGTATTCTGGGTTGAATGAAAGATATGTAAGCTGTCTGGCGTATACCATACTACCAAATTATCTATTTCAGTTATAAACATGTAATATGTTAGGGGATGGAATTCTTTTGCTGAGAAGTCTAACGTTAAGTTGAGCAGTTATCCCTTGACAGGCAAAATCACTCGACAACTGTATCAATATCTCACACAACATTATGACAAGCTTACAGTAATATGCTGCATATACCCAGTGAATATTAAAAAAATATTTACAATTTAATATTATAACATACCTCTGCTATATCCCTATTTGTTTTTGATTCATGCGGTTCATTGAATTCTGTATATCTAAGTAGAATTTTATCCATATCTGAACTAGCATACTGAAATAACTTTTGAGAACTTGTAAATACAATTAAAGCTATTTCACAATCACATAGTATACTCAATTCATAAGCTTTTTTCATTAATCCCAATTTGCGTTTTGTAAATGTAACCTAAGCAGAAAACAATTAAATATTAGGAAGGGAGAGAAAAAGAAAGAAAATGTCACTCTTGGTATGAAAATTAAAATCAATAATACCAAGGTACTCACGTCGAATTTACCTTGGTAGTATTGATTTTAATTAAATATCAAATATGTGAACAAGAGTATATGTTTAATAATAATCATAATTAGAAGCAATACAACTTAGTAACTACATATACGTTCATCTATTATTATTATTATTATTAGTCCCTTGGGTTCCTAGTGGAACATAGGGCTTCAGCAGCACGTCTCCATTCCACTATGTTCCCTGAAATCTTTTGAACCTGGTTCCACGACAGCCCACAAGCTCTCATTTCCTCCTTGCACGATCTCCTCTATGTCACCCTCGGCACCGACGTCAAACTCGTCGCTTCCCCTGGGGATTCCACTCGAGGGCCTGACGCGTGATGTCCCCAGTCGGCCTTCTCAGTGCATGCCCAATCCATCTCCACTTCCTCCTGCATATTTGTTGCGTGATAGGTTCTTGGTTGGTTCGTTCCCAGAGCTCCTTGTTGCTTATTCTTTCTGGCCATTTGATCTTCAGTAGCGAGCGTAAGCAGTTGTTGATCTACTCTACATTAAGAACCATAGCTATTGCATTGTGAAAGTTGGTAACAGTAAATTTGATTAATGTTATACACAGTAAGTTAAGCAAAATAGATTTATATTTACAACTTGAAAATGGAAATTTCACTATTTAAATCATTCAAAAAGCAATACCAACCATAATGAAAGCATTTTCTATGGGGACAAATGATGCATGCATACATAAAACACTAATATCAATAAAAACAACATACCTGACGATTTCGTTCGTCTGCAATCTTCTTGATGAGTATTTTTTTACGACCCATGAAGCAAAGTTATGAATATACTTTTTCCTCAGATATAAATAATACTAACAGTAGTCATATAGTAGACTAATAAATGGTACCATTCAAAGGAAACAAAGAAAAGTCAAGAAAAAACACAGGAGGATTCAGTGAAACCTAACACTGACAATAATAATCATAGCCATAACGATAATATTAACAACAGAAAAGCAAAACAGAGGTGAACAAGTTTTTTTTCATTCTCTAGAACGACACAAACAAGAATTAATTATGCAACAAAAAATGAAGAGAGAAAAGTTGAGGACGAATAAACTGAATATTCTATGTCTGTCTAATAATAATAAATAAATAAAAAGAAAACACTGAAAAACGATGAGTTAAAATGTCATTTTTCTTCAGAAAACAAAAACAAAAGAGAAAATTAAAACAAACAAATAACTGACCGCTAAATTTACTCTCTTTTCAATAGTATGTGTCTATTAATATCCGTAATTAGTATGAAGACAAAAAATATACAATATAACAAAGTGGGAAAAGTTGTGAAGAGAAAATAAAATAAAATATTTCTTCTTTGTACTCTCTTTCCCTTTTTCCGGCTTCTTATTATTCGAACCGAGCTAAATATCACAACAACAACAAAAAATGATTTGATTTCTATGTAAATTTGGAAAGACTATGTATATGCTTATATTTGTTGCTATCTGTTTGTATAAAGGAATTTTTACTGCGTATAGTATGGAGTGAATAGAAACACAATCAGTTGAGAAATATACGTAACAATAATCTCTTTGATTTTCTCGAGAATATTTTGATTATATCAGTTCACAGATACACACACAAAAAAAGTTATAGGTGGATTCAAGAGTGTGAAAATCACGTTGGTACCCAATCAGACCAGTTACAATGTAAATCATCTGAAAAAGATGGTGAAAATGTAAATATGAATTAATCTTTTCCTGTTTTACTTTAATGGATGCATTAAAAACTAATAATGGATAAACGTAGCTTTATTCAATTGCAATAAATACCATTTCAACCAATTAGATGTGATTAGCTTCATATTTCATTATTTTATAGATAATCTTCTCCTAGCTAAGTATATTCTCCAAAATAATCACAATGTAAGTAATACAGATATGTGAAATCAACGCAGAACCTTGAATAAAAGTGCATTGGTTTAAATCCCTACAATTCATAGTAGTATGTAAAAAGCATTTCAGTAGAAGTGATATGAAAGTAGATGAAAGTGTATGCAAAAAAAACTTGAAACTTTAGAAGACGTCAAAAAGTGAATACATCACCACCGTTGAGACTGATTTTCAAGCATACCACCAAGAGTCTCCAACTATTGATTTCTATAGTTTTTAGAATCCCAGTCAAGTAGTGTCTACACCACCATACATGGTTCGGCCCAACAGTCAAAATCTTCATGAACTGGAGCCACATCCTGATCTGATCAATCTTAGCCTTTCACCAATCCAATCCAATTACCGCTGATATCACACGATATGGTGGGTGGTGACTCCAGGTGTGCAACACGCAACCAAGTCACCTCAGTCGGTGAAGGTTAACAATCTCATCAATTGACTTACCTGCTTTACGTAGTACCTGCCGTTTGATCTCGACACTGCCCAGACGGTGATTCCACCATATATGATGCTGAAAATACACATATGACCAAAAACCTGGTATGTTTTTGTATCATTTCTTTTCAGCGGCCAAATCTCAAAGCCCTATAATAGGATAGAGAGGACTAAAGAGCAACAGACTCATCTTTTAATGGATAGTCCAAAACCCCACTGGTGCCTGAGATGAGAGATGAAACGCCAAACGAGTCTATTCTAACAGCCAAAGCATATGGTTTGATGTAACTCCTCAATTAAGTTACGCGTTTAATACGTTCCATCAGTTTACTCCCAATCCTTAAGGTGGGGGTAGCTGTAGACCAGTCTTGAAGCATCACCTTACATTTCACACGTGCCAAACGTGCTGGTTTACACGGAAGGCGCTTAGATCTTATATTTGGTCGACGTATTCCTCTATAAAACTATCTCATTTGCGAACTACAAGTCAACCATATGCTCTCAGGGAAGTAGATCAATCCTCATAAAGTTAGAAGAACCTAGGGGCATCCCATTAGAATACCTATAACAAAGCTAAACACGCCTTCATGGCAGATATCATCGGCTGTTGTCAATTTAGACGACAACTCTCAATGTTCTCTTATATACCTACATGAATTCAAGTAGAGAGCTTTCATGAGCAATCTATATTTGCTCGGTATTCCATTTGCAATCAGACACTGTCACAATACCTCTTAGCTGATAGATTCAAATGCCTTCAGGTCAAGAAAAATGGTAAGTACCGGGGATCATTAAATACGTTTGTGTTCTGAAACCTTATGAAGGCTTGAAATCTGATCACAGAACCCTCGACCAGCTTTGAAACCCGCCTGGTTTTCTCGAGTTTGCTGTTCCAGTCAGATACTGACAACTGTTGGATAACTGATTCCTCTATGGTTGTCACAAAACAAATTTCCTCCCTTCAGTTGGTTCTTAACCACCCTTTGAGATTGAACAGAAAAGTGAATCACATATCCTAAGACAGGTTTCAAAAAAGAAAAGGATTGATAACTCTACATGCAATGGTATGAAACCTCAAGGGTCGCGTAGACGCTACATGTATAGTGTTCCAAAGACAAACAGAATCTTCCTCTGAGACCTATGATTTCTATGAACAACTTAGTTCATCAAAATGCTACTACTTGGCTTTCAGAAAAGTAATAGCTTATGCATCGGCAGTTGGCTCCACATAACCTGTTTGTTTGCTGATTCGTTTATTTATCCTCAACTAGATGACTTGTTAACCTTTCGCGTGGTGTTTTATTGCTAATCATAATACTCTCTTGAACTCTCTTGAATCACACATATAACTGAAACTTCTCAGGATGGCGCGTTAGCTTTATCCCGATGTTTGTATCCTTCAAACAACCACTCGTTTCCCTTTAACGAACTTCACTTAACTACAAAACGTATGCTCAAGTTCTTTCGATATAGGATACCTAAATACTTTAGATCGTAAGAAGCTCATAAGAAAGCGGTGAAATAAAGTGCTACGTCACTCTGTTGTAGATAAATTGCTTAAAATTGACTTAACTATGACAAAGCATGGAGAATACAATAGAAATTAAAAGACGATTACGTTGGCAGAATGGCTTTGCACAATGACTAGGAACAACAAAATTTAAAAGCAATAATATAACGAGTCACTTACATAACTCTAGTAGATGATTCAGTTTTACAAAATATGGCTGATATAAATTGTATCCCACACAAAAAGCCATTAGATCTCCAGTTTACATAATTTCCACTCGCGAAACAACCTGTTCGATATTCAAAAGAAATGAGAAACTTGAAAAATATGTTATTATTGAATGATAACATTATTTGGGACGTCATTTTAGTTTAACAGGAACTACCCGCTTCTGAGTTCACATTCAGCGCAATCACAGCTATTGTAACCTTTAACGGTGAAACCAAGTTAAAATTTAGTCCACATGCAGTTAAAAAATCTATTTAAAATAGTTCACGAAAATGTATATCCCTTGTGTCTTTTTGACATTGGTACTTATAAATCCTTAACGGCGGCGTGTGAATGACTTCTGAAAAGCAAATGACTCTCACGACTACTAGATCCCCCTTGATTGGTAAATTCTAAGAAATACTTTATCCATGACATTTTTGAAACGATGTGGTGCTGAAATCAACAGTGAAAGATTTGGAAGGCGGAAAGGAGGTAGTTAGAAACGTGGTCACGTAATCTACTAGAATAACTAGGAAGAAAGCTAACTGAACTCGCTGGAAATTTTTTGAGACGAATGGAAGACTACCGTAATATGAGGCGAATATGTCGATAACATGTGTTGAGTGCCTTAAGTATGTGAATAGTATCAATTTACTGAGCTGTGACATATATGCTACAGAAGTTGCACTCAAACAGCTGACGATCACTGTATTATTAGTTCCACTTATTTAAAACAGACTTCGCACATGTATCATGTAAAATAACCTAGCAACATCAGGAAGACAACTGTGGTGCGTACAGAAGGAAAAACAAGAACGGACACGAAAGCATAAATGGGTTAATAGATTATCAGTCTCAAAGATGGATTCCAAGAAGTGTTTACTACTTTCGTCTTATTTTTCAGTAACATAATCAAAAAAACCGCAACATGATCATCATTAGTTTCGATTCGGAAACATGTATACTACTGTTTCAAGTCACTGAGCTGTGTAATCTCTCGAAACCTTTTCAAGTAGTCGTGAGACACCAGTAGATGCTAACCCGATACAGATACCATTCATTTCATGGCACTAATTCATACACGTTTCACCGCTTCTTTCAGCTAGTCTACCGGCAAGCGAACAGTGAACCGACTGAGACACAAGTGTGGAACTTATAACATTTCGAAGCCAATGAAGCCGGTGTCTGAAGATGACTTCAGCCAGAAAATGACGACATCCACCAAGCCTAGACATACCCCATATCACCTTACAACTAATTACATAGTGTACCCACTGGATGTCTAATTTCATCACTTCTTTTCGACTTAGTCACCACAGACGTTTTGGAGACATCTCAGGTGTGCGGTAGAGTAAATCTACTGTTAGGTTAAAGAATTTCGAACCTTAAGTATGCAAATGATATAACCTAACTGTGCAACCACATACACGCAACTCAAGCCACAGTTTGCACGTTAACGATTAGTGTCCGTATGTATGATATATACTTGATGCAATCGAACCCTAGTGCTTTACCAAATCGGTAGTAACATGTATCGACGCAACCTTGGTGATGAACCACTGGAATTGGTTTAAATATTTGTCACTGGATATCTCAACGACTGCTGGAGGTGCAACTGATATGATTTTCAAATGCTTACACTTACTTAAACGACGTAGACTGGCGGTTTGAAACTTCATGGACTGATGCAAAGTTTTAGTAAGACTACATTTAATCTTTATCTGTCCTAAACCAACATCACCTAATATTATGTGGTTAAGTACACGGTAAGTAGACATAAGCAACACATGCCCCAGCCACCTGACTTGACGGTTTACAATCTCAATTGAATAATCTTTTCTACTTAAAACTACACCCCATGTGGCAGTCCTATAAGAGCCTATGCCAAGAATGTGGCAGTGGCCAAACACCCAAATATTTTTTATGTGTCCCTCCAATGGTCATGTCTTACAGCCATTCGGTAGAAAAGGGTGAATGGCTGGGCAGCACATTTGACCCTTAATGAGAAATCCAATATCACACCAGCGCTGAAAGTGTGCAAGTTGGCGAATGCTAATACCAGTAGCACAGTTAACTCCATAATTTAACTTCTGTTAAGGACAAAAACATTATCTTTTTGACCATAGCCAACTTTTAAGTACTGAGAAATTGTGCAGTCACGTCGCTAGGAATGTCTGCATATAATCTTATTTGTATTAATATTTCAAGTGATTTTAGCACTAGTATAGGGGTCTAAAATTACATATCTCGTGGGTCACCGAAATATAAGCCCATTACACATTAAGACCCGGTTGCGTTCATCATATACCCTCAGAATTATGCAAAAACTACTAAGACTAGGACGAAAGAAAACCATTTCTTCAATGAATATACTTACATACCAAATACTCCAACCAGACTAGGGAGCACACTACATCTTGGTCAGGAATGTATATCAAGTAACTTGGACAAGATAAATTTACTGTAGTGGACGACTGCGTTAAATAATGTCGCTTTTTGTGTAAAAATAACGATACTAAAAGTTAGATGAGTAACTCTGACGAAGGACAGATGTAATCAGTAAATCAGGATGATATAAAATCATAACGATGTTATGTACGCACGCTACATAACTCCAGTAAATACAACCTTGAAAGCAGTGCTTGTTCATATTATACATCTCTCACGTATCCCTAGTTCATTGCTGCTTCGAACTTTTATGTGATCAGTTAGTTGAGATTTAGATATACGTGTTACACGATGATGGCACTATCACATTTTTTTTAATTGAGGAACAATTAGTAATGCAGTTTATCTAAACACTTCACTGACCCTATCAAAGATAATCTCCTGAGGGAACTTGAGTGTTAACAGAATTGCGAGGACGGTTGGCACTCCCCGGCTGCTCACACTGTGGAAGGACATTTCTTCCTGAGACATCTGCTTATGTCACGAAAAAGGGTTAGTGCGTATCTGCAAAGTCCGAGGAATATCTGCTTAAGGCCAGTCACATGTGAACTTTCTAGAAGTTTGACAGTTTACTTTCATTGTGCAATTTGACTATGGACCAATATCACCAGTAACGTTATGATGCAGGGTATTGGGTGTGCTGTTTCTAGAGTAGACCTTTTATAACCTCCCTCCCCATTCGCTGTAATAGGGAAGGCAGCATCAGCTGGCACTGCTTGTCATCCAAGGGAAGCTCCGTATTGCCATCGTACTACCGTCTAGCCACCAGTACGACTTCGCCCTCAGACCACGACATCACAATGTAGCAATTTACACTGCACCAGTAACTGCTTTTCATCCAACTACTACCTAACAGACCTTTACAGTATGTAAGAACCTTAATGGAACAAGTGTTCCGTCAGCATACCCTGTTGGGTCATTGTGGTATGCAAGCCGAAACACCATATGAAGATAGCAGCTATCGGTCAGGCTACTAAATCTGAATGCTTAACTTGTTCTTTCCCAACAATACAAGACGCAACTAATGGTGCCCGATATTCTGACCCACCGGTGTTTAAAACCTTAAACCATAAACATCGAATCACAAAAATCATGATCTTAGTGTGACAACACTGATAATACTGCACCACACATAGGGCTGCCATAAAAAGAAAATGAACCGGATCCCTGTTTAACTACGCTATATTTTATTAAACCAAAAGAAACTGTTACCATCTTTAGATCTATCTACAGTTAGTTCGTCGATAACTATTAAAACAGCTGGGATCATTATGAATACATTTTTACATCAGATGTGCTACTGGCTAATTATCAGTAAGCCATCTAATCAGATGCTTCAAAAATATGAAGGATTCTTTGGTTTATTTAAAAGAGGTTCAGGAAATGCAACGTGCAGCGAAAATCGAAACGAGCACAGAAACTTACGACAAAAATGTAACGTAAACTTTACAAAATCCGCTTGCTTCCTGTCTATGGTGTGCTAGTCTTAGTGAGGAAGAAATGGTAAGTGAAGCAGACCATATTCCGATTATGGGCCAATTTTAATAACAATACTTGCGGATGAGTGAAAACTCATTTTCTTTTGAAATTTTTGTTTTAAAATTGTGGAAACTAGCTGCCTTGTGTGAGTTACGGTGCTTCGAGTTTCGATGCCTATAGATCCAGATTTTTTCTCTAGATTCAATATCCCTTTCTCGAGTCTGCGTTGACCAACTGCCTTCTATGCTCTTGCTTTTAGGACCTACAGAATGTTTCCACGTGACTGCCGGGTTCCAATGCAATAGATCTACTCACTATCCAAACAGACAAGAGACATGCAAATGGTTCAAATGGTTGCTGACGGAATAGAAGAAGCTTTTGCTTAACTAGCTTCCGCGTCTACAATCCGTGGGCCACTACTCCTTTTGGTTGCTAACCTGTTGTACAAGTAAAGAAAGGTGAAAAGTGGCGATTAAAGTGTGAAAATTCACTTAGTTCTGGGCAGACCCGAGACACACATCAAGTGAGTATCCAGTCGGCGTTTAAAAGACTCGGACGAAGTAGACTGGATCACATCTTCGGGAAGAGCATTCGAAGGCACTGAGTACTGCCCAGCTAATTCATCAAGTTGGGCTTATAAACACAATTTTTCAACCCACTATCTTGCACCGTTCTGTTAGGCCAAAGCCGGATTCTGTCAGCCACTAGGGCCCAATGGACCTGCCATAGGGACACCGAGGCTACTAAACTCCTAACTTATCAGTGTTTTCAGATCTTTTCAACATCGAACACCTAGTCAGGAGTTTACGACTGTCTCAACAACGAAGCAGGACTCTTGGACGTTGAGCCAGTATAGCTCAAACCAGTACTGCTCATAAAAGGCACCTCTCCAGGACCGTATAAAAAGCAAATGGCAGTACTTCAAGAAGAGGACTCAGTCTTGTGTGAACCCTAAAGCAAGATATTTAAGGGCCCTTTAGGTCGAAGGAAAGTGTGCAATTGCTGGAAGTTGGGCCATTGTCCCAATATCCCATGGAAACAAATGAAGTGACCCGAAAAAAATGCGCGCCGGCAAAGTTCTTATTCATATCTTTTAAAATAATGGAATCGCTAGCTTATGATTGACAGGGGAGTCAGCTGACGACGATTAAATTCTTAACGCCCTAAACACATGGATTTAGAAAAAAGTACTCCTAGATAGTGCAACAGCTTACCTCGGTAGACAGGCCAACTGGCATTGTCAATCGTCGAGGCCAACTTGACGTCTAGGCCTTGTTATGGCGTTCCATCTCGCTAATCACGACTGCCTTGTCGACAAACTTAAGTTGATAGGGACCGGACCACTGCTTATTGACTGGTTGCCCTCATTTACGAGATCATTCATCTGGAGTCTAGGTGGGGTTCTTCATGTCTGAAGAAATAGGATATCCCAGTGGAGTTTCCCGGATTACAGTGCCACAGCCTCTTCTTTTTCTGATATATATAAACAACTTACCCGGACAGGTTCGTTCCGAAGTCCTTCCTATGGCCGATAGAATGAGTGTGCACAGAAATCTAAGTCAAGAGGGCGGTGTTTCTTTACAGAAAGACTTAACCCAACTTCAAGGCTAGATAGTTATTCATGGACTCGCATATAGTCCTTAAGAATGCAAGGTTGCACATTTAGAACAAACCATGTCATTTGGGTAGCCTCAACAGGATGAAAATTGAAGCACCGCCGTCAAGGTAGAATTTTGGTGTGTTTTCTTCTCTCAAGACTTAAAATTGTGCACAAAATTTGACAGTTCAAGAAAACCCAATCTTCTTCGTATTCACGCTAATTTCCTGCCCCCTTTCAGGCCGAAGTCGAGGAGTTTTCGACTTGACTGCGGGGACAAACGAAGCCTTACGGTGCAATACGATCCGCTAAGACTACTTAGATTCTTTTCTTCCGTCAAGTGCTCTCGTGTGGTTGATGGCTAACCTGCAACCAGGGAATAAGCTCCTACTATTGAAGGACACCTCGCATGCGGACTAGCCTCTATGTCCTTCAGGATGTCGGTGGGGCCTTGGACTATACTGAAAGCGCTTAGTAGTACTGCATGTTGAATGCAGGACGGCTCGTCCAGTCAAGGCCTAGACACACCATGGGAAACCAAAACCCTACCGGAGTCCTCCCCCTAGCTTGCTTGGGGGTCCAGAATCTGGAACTGACACTGAGGCCAATGCTTTTGAAGGCAAGGGCGCAGTATTAGGGCAATCATTCGAAAAACCGACGCAGCAGTCTCAGAATTTAAGCTAGTCCCGTTGCTCCTTTCATTTCAAAGTTCAGGCGTTAACAGACTGAGCCCGGGGGTATTGGAAACCGCCAACCGATGAGAAGCTGATGTAACACCCTCTTAGTGCAATAGGGTGGGCCAGAAATACGGAAATTCCTGCTTTGGGTAGTAACAATGGCTTCATTCTGACAGGTATTTCAGGAGTACTGTATGGAAGTCTCAACATGTCATGCAGCATCAGCCGGACAGAAATAGCGTATGAGTACACTGAATAAAGTGGAATAGTTATAAATTGCATAGAAAGGACACGAATAGAGAGAGCCCTGAGTGGAGAGGATGCTGGTCATCTGATGTGCATATTGCTTAGGACTTTTGTTCTCAACAGTTATGCTGAGAAGGTTTTAGAGGCTCAAGGCTTATTCTTCTGGAACTCTTCGAAGCTCTACACAACATACCAGCCCAGAGAGGAATAAAGGGGAACAATATAGGAGAATGGACAAGATGCAGCAGTTCATAAAAAGTACGTAATATTGTCAGTATATTCGATCAAGTTGATGCCAGACGAAGGTGATTAGTCACGCAGGAAGACGGAAAAAAGACTCGGGCAAAGAAAAACAACCCGGAGTGCATTAGCCTCAGCAAGCAATGAAGTGGGGCACTTCCCTCTGCGAACAGTTAATTGTTTCCTCTCAGAGAAATAGGAACATAGTCAGCTGCTTTGCCCGGACTCGGTATATGTCCTGACAAAAGGGGCATCGAGGCAGGACCGAGTGCTGAAACGTGGTCTAAAGTGCCGCAACTGAAATACTTGGCATTTCTATCAAGATAACGAGCAATATCGTGATGTAAGACAGTGGTGGCATCCACAGTCCTTCTTCTGCTCCTGCGTGCTGATTGATTAGGGCTTATGACAGCCTTCGGTGAGTGTTCAGGCACAGAAATTACTAGCTTCTCCGTCATTCTCAAGAACGGAGAATTAATTGCAATCACATGGAATTTCGGACATGCATGTGGGATCATTGACTTAGGCACTAGGAGTACCTTATTGTCTGACGCGGTAAAGTTGAATCTATACGCTCCTTTTTCACGTGGTTATGGTTATGTCGATTCGCCATATATCTGCAGTAATATTTCGATCTGTCCGATATATTTGGCTTACGGCTCCTCTGTTCTCTTCGTATACTGCGTTATCAACGTTTCGGTATACTACCTATAGCCGTTTGCTGTCTTTCCACTTCAACACTAAGTTTCGACTTTAACGTCTTTTTAAGTGGGAAGATCTAAGACCAAACGTTCTAATATTGGCCGCGCTAGTGGGAAAAAGCAGAGACTGGGCCATTCCAGTGTTCTTTGGGGAGACAGAAGCATTGTTACTCTATACACCTCAGATTTCAGTGAACTGGTATGCCCCACGCCTTTTGTCAGAACTGAAGACATCATATCAGTCGTGAGTAGCAGTATTAAAGACCACAAGAAAAATGTCGATTACATTAAGGCTATGATGGAAGAGATCTGAGGAAAAATTGGGGATTTCCATCCGTCAGCATATCTTCTTGGGAAGCATGAAAATTTAGTCGAAGACCATGCAGGGAAGGCAGAAAACTTAATAAACCATTTGGCAACGGAGGCGATGAATAGACTATCGTCATCTTAGCAGGTCTGATACCCTGCCTTTGGATGTGGTTAAGACAAGAGCATTAGACTCATGTGGTGTGACGAGACTACATTGGGACTGTAATCGCCCCCGCAAACGTCAACGCAGTCCAGCTGCTTCATGATTTTTAAGTTCACCCCTTCGTTTGCGGCCAAAAGATTTATTAAACTACAAGACCACACAAGGTTACACAGCAACTTTAAAAATATTGCTATCTCACAAGACGAAACCGCGCCAACGCGGAAAACAAAAAGGAAGTAGTCAGACCAGTTCGTTACCTTTAAACATGGAGGCTGGTGTGTGCACGAACGGACCATCAGAAAGTGCTGACATGGTCAGTAATTCTTTTGAATGTACCTCTTCCTCGGTAGAGCGGTCTCAGTCAAACCTAGCTACAAGTGAACCTGATCCTTCAGTTGTTCGTAAAAAGAAAACTGTCTGTACCGTTCCCCCTAAGGTCACCATAAACGGAAGCCCGCTGGGTGACAGAAAACTCAGAAGCGCATACGAAACCTAACCATATAAAGCTAAAACGTTCTTGAAAAAGGACCATTTCAGGCGCGTGTTTTCTAATGACGGAGAGGAATATTTCATAGCTAAGACACTGGCGATACGCGAACCCAAAAGGCAGGTTTTCCGTCAACCCCTTATTTCAGAGATAAACACCACGGCAACTCGAGGTTGCACCGCGTGAGACACTCCTTCGGACCACGTTGCTTTAATCACAGGAGTCATAACGTGGTGCCGAGTGGTGCACCGAACGCTCAAACATCCCACATATCACAAACACCTAACCACTGTTCAGTTGTACATCATGACAATCCTAGTCAATACTTTGGGAACAGATGTATACCCTCTGCCAGAAACCCCCCACTTATGAACCCCACCAAAATGTTTTCGGATCCCGCACAATATGTACTACCCATGGTGTTTAGGCTTGTTCGACCCCCTGACAGCATAGGGCTGGAACCAACTTCCCCGACTTACACCGGTCATGAACCATACCTTACGCCAACGGTAAAGAAGAAGCACACGTTAATAAAGGGTAGGTGCCGTGAAAAACTAAGTAATCACATGCTTATGAGAGACAGAA